AAGTAATATCAGCTTTGCTTCTGTACAGTAAATGAAATTAAAATAGTTACTTTATTTCCAGGAGAAATAGTTCTCTAAATAAATAAGAAATAATAGCAGTCCTTTATCTTTTAACAATTTACATGCATTAACACATATTCCTACATTTTCTTCAGAACAAAATGTATGCCAATATTTTCCAACCGTTTTTCTAGTATTTCTTAATGTCAAATATCATCATGACTATTCTGCCTTTCAGCCACATCATGATCTTTTCAAATAATGAGATTCAAATTGCGAACTAACCTTTAAAACATCTCTCAAGTGTGGTACAAATTACATTATTAAACCATTGTAGATAATAATTTTTAATATAAAAAAAGTAATGTTATTTATTTTGTATTAGCTACTGATGTATGAATAATGTAATATTAATGTTGGAAGTACAATGTTAAATATTGAAGAATACAATTTTATTAAGTCATCTTCACAAACATATTTCTTAAATAAACCTGATCAACCTTGAATCCTCTCAAAAATTGTTTTTACTAACCATGATCGTAATTAGGTGGGCAAGGGGACAATGGTATGACTTCTGTATGTGCTTTTTTCCATCTCTACCACCTGCTTCGCCTCCACCTCCACTTCCATCTCCACCTTCCACTCCAATACCCATTTCACGATTCTATCCCATTGGCCACACCTGTTATTTTCACCTGCTCCAGCTGCGGCTAGTCCAACGAACCAACCAATTAAAAAACTTTTGCTGAAACCACATACCACCTCCTTCCTGTAGCTATGACACTCAATAGAGAAAGTACACATAATGTATTAAAAACGAAATGCATTTTACCCTATGTATGTGCATATAACAAACGATAGAGAAAGGTTCGAGGACCTAATACTTGAGAGAATTAACACACATGGCTATTGTGAACATGCAGCCTATCGGAAAGGCTGAGCGGTTTTTGAAAAGGTTAGATCGACCGTCGATGTCGCAAAACAATCTAGAGGAAAGGCTTAGGAGAAAACGAAGGAATGAGCAAAAAAAAAAAAAAAAATCTATGCCCTCGTAACGCTCGATATAAGGAACCCCAATTCAGACAAATGGGAGAGAACACACCGGATTACATATCCACTATGATAGTTAATTTGCGAAGGCGAACCTATGGGCGTCAAAATGACCTGCGGTGTCCCACAAGGTTCCAAGCTTGGCCTCTCATGTGGAATATTATGTACGACAATCTTCTGGACATAAAACTTACGCAACACGTCTCAATAGTGAGTTTCGCAGACAATGCGATTATAGTGACAACGGTGCTAATAGAAGTCACTGACGACACTCTGACAATGAGAAAAGTGATGAGTTGGTTGACGCCCAAAGCTCTAGAAGTCGCAGCATGTAATACGAAGGTGCTACTCATCACAGACAATTAATTATTCTTGATGATGATATAAGCTCATTGAATGGATCCCTGAAAGTTCAGGGGCCTCCTGTCAGACTCAGGGTGGTTCTGCTTATCTCTTTAGGTGATCCAGTCATTCAATATTCTTAGTAGGCAAGGAAAAATAACGTCGGAATTGTTATTTTCTAAATATTTTCTGAAAAAACTCCAAATTTTTTCTTTACATTTTATATTTGTTTGTAACAAAGGACGTTAAAAAAAAGTAGTGCTGGACCTATTTCCGACGACCTCTGAATTTTCGAAAATGCAAAAAGTTAACATTGGAAAAGTACAAGATTGATGGGAAAGAGTTTTTTCTTAAGTAAAATGTTTTCAAAAATCAGATCTTTTAGAGCAAGTCATGTTCAATTCTTTGAAATACGAGTAGTTTTTCGCATAATTTCTACTTGAGTTAAAGCGAATAATAAAAAGTAACATTATCTCAAAAACCGCTCTGAATTACTTCCAATCTTCTAAAATTGCTGAAATTAGGCAATGGGAGAAAGTGTGTGTCCTTTTAGCACCGCATCAGCATTATACATTTATGAAAGAACCGAAATTAATTTTGGAAACAAATTTCAAAAGCAGTTTTGCAGTGGCTACAGAGTTGATATTAAGGAGTCACGCGGAGGACGGCCGAAGAGAACGAATAACGGGCGTCGGAGAGTGGAAGAACATATTTCTCCATGGCCACTCTTCACACATTTTGTATTCCTCCACGAAGCGACTCTGACAGAGGACCTGAGCACTCTAAGGGCTTCATTTAGCCCTCTTGGACCAGAGAGTATGGACAAGGCGGGCCATGTCCGTCAAGGAGGACGTGAGGAGACGGCGGGAAGAATATAAATACCGAGAAGGAATGAAGGGCGGGAAGGTCGAGGAAAGAGGACGAACAGGGCCATAAAATGCCAATTTATGTACGATTTCTTGCAAAGGAAATATTCGTTTATAATGTTGATACACAAAAAAATATATTATGCGATGATATCAATATTAACTGTCTGTTCATTAAAAAGTTGTTGCGTAAGTGGTTGTGAGGAAAAAGTTACTGTATTTTAATATATTGAAGAACAGAGAATAATTTCCAATTTTCAATATCGCCATAAATTTTCTTAGGATTTTTAGAATTAAAAAAAATCAAATTTGATTCACTAGTTCAGATAAAATATACGATAATAACGGCTTATTATGAAAGTAATGTTATTTACACGAATAACTGAAAAATGTATTTTGTTGGTTCATTAGTACAAAAAACATCAAAGGCTAAGCAACGTAATAATATTATTATTGTAATTTTCATAAGAATTGTTTTCGAGTGTTTCAATTTTTTAGACTACTTACATAAGTTACAAGTAACTTTTAAAATAAGTATAAGTTAATTGTGTTATCAATTTTGAGTAATATTGAAGTTGTGTCTAAGGTAATTTAAATTATCTTTTCATTTGTCAATAAAGTACTTAACATTGCTAATTATTTAATCCTTTTCCCCGAAGTTTGCTTCCAACCTCGAAAATATTTACTTTTGAAAACGAATTTACGGCGCTTTTCGCGCTTTTTTCGTTATACATTTATGTAGAATATAATTTAATGTACTAACCGCGTAATGAGGAAATGAGTCCTTGCTTTAAAGGATAGTTGGTCTGCTTTAGTGTACAAATTGATAGGTATTAAATCATTTGTGTTCATTATTTCTAAAGATTTCCTTTTTATTCGATCATGCTGGAACATTAACATTAAATATTATTTATTTGATATTTTTCAATAATTGTTTATTACTTCATTGGCGTCATGGATACCGTTACAGTGGCTATGGAAAGTATTGTGAAGACAGAACCCGAGGTAAAATATTTTAGAATTACCGTTGTTTTTGAGAGAGAATGAATGTTCGATATATTTTGTGCCTGAACATTTTCCGCATTTCCCCACGTGCTCGGCTATGGTGTCTGTGACGCGCGGTGAGTGTAAGGAGTGGTAAGGCGCTTCGCTGGACCTGTTCCAGAAGTCATGTTTTGAATTTCCCCGAATTGGAGGTTATGTCACTTTTCGATTGTCGTACAACTTTTCATGCACACCGATTTGGACTCCGATTTTTGATTGAGGAGTATTGCAGTGTGAGCTTAATTTGTGAGAGAGTTGTTTCTCTCTCGGTTTTCCGAAGCAAGATGCCATAACATTGAACATTTATTTTCGAAAGGATTTTTTTAAAACTTCTGCAGGAATTTATGAACGTTTGATAATACTACAGGAAACTTGAAAGTTATATAGAAGTTGCAGGTTAAATGCCACGTAGCCTCTCGAACATGTACGTGTAGGTCAAATTAAAATTTGTTGACGTGTTTGTAGTTTGAGGCGTACTGTACAAGGTACGCATACACTTTTTAAATTGTCAATGACAGTCTTCATTTACTATGTTTTTCACTAGTTTATCGTGTATTCTCTTTTCTTCAATTCCACCGCAGGACCGAGTTTAATCCTTTTGCTTTTTGTTAAGATATTCGAATGACAGTATGGAGTATTAAATGCCATTGAATAAATTCAGCAATGTTAGGAGAACAATTGAATGAGTTAGACGTAAGCATGTGTGCTCTTTTTATTTATAACTCCTGAATTAATATAAAACTTTCAAGTTGTAAACTGTATTGAAAGTGAATGTATGGAAATGTCTTTGCATCTGCTTCTGGCATTGTTCTTCCTCTTTTGAGCACCATAAACGGTTTTGTTTCGTGTATATTACTTTTAGATGGTGTTTATTTGTTTTATTTATACCAAAAACGGTTAAAAACTGTGTGTGATGTTACTGGTGTTCATGTGAATGCTGAACACACACTCATTTATTTGCCCATAATTTATTTTTCCATGAGGGCTTGTTTCTTTTGATAAACCCACCTTCTTTTGTGTCAATGACTTAAGAAGTTTAAAAAATTGACAATGAAGATGTATTTCACAGCATCATACGCTTTCACAATGTTTATCGAGGATCATTCTAAAGATGTGTTAAACAGCAGTACTATCTTGTCATGAATTGTGACTTCGAAAATTTCAGTCAGAACATTTCCCGAGTAACATGTCAATTAAAATAGAAACAATTTCTGCCGATGTCACCATTAATATGACACAATTAAATCGTTTATTTCAGAAACCCATCGTACACCAAAATGTAAAACACGCTTTAGCAACAGATCATTGTTCCAGGAGGATAGACACATCGTTTAATGCACATTTATATATCAACAAAAATTTATTTTGAAATCTGAAAAATTGGGAGACTTATTCTCACTTTTCTCGGAATCAGGAATTTGGCATTTAAAGAGTTTCTGAAATAAATGATTCAATTGATAGTCATACATTTCATAATAATTTTATATAGTGGGTTCAGTATTGTCATTATTGTTGAGGAACGTGTATTATTACTGTTAATATCCCTTGTATTCATGGCTAAATATGTTATTGTGGGTTGTTAAAATCTTAAAGTTACAAACCACTTCCTAAGGGGCAGATTAGTGACTTTTCAAGCTGCTATAATATTTTGTGCGAAATACGTTCTGTTCCTAACAAATGATGTCTTACTTTTTCCAGACTTTTAGATGAACCAGTTAGGCATCAAATAAGAATACTGTGGACAAATCCTGGGCTTAAGGTTTTAGTCAAATTTTGATACCCCACATCTGTTGACCTCAATTACTGAACTGTTGTATGGATGGTATTTCTTCGCGTTCTTATGATACAACATTTTGATTGTACACTATAACTATAGGAAAACATTATTTTTCCCAAATCTTGAATAACAGAATCCATTTATTATAACTATGAATATTAAACGGTTAATATGTATTTCTTGTTCATGCGATATTGCCACAATGTAAAAAAATCCAAAGCTATACTCTATGACAGGCATCACCCAACTTCATTTTGAAAATTTCATTCCTAGAGTTTGGAGTGGGCTGTAGGATGAGTCCTATTTTTCTGTTATATTCCTTTCAAATTCTCTCCTTTGTGTCCTTGGAGATATCACATTGTTCAATGTCAAGATATATGTATGTTTTGGCACTGTCTGGCTTGGGATTTCTACTCGGAGAATGCATATAAACTTGAATATTCTCTTATCGTTCCCACTTAGGCTCTCTTTAAGCTTACTTTTACTCACCTGTCACGACTAAATTTCATGCAGATGATATTTAATAACTGAATTAATTCACTATTAGAGAGAGTTATTTCATTTCTAGATACAATTTAAGATCATCCATCTTCAACAAATATATTAATGTTCTTTCATCACCAGGGAGCTTTTAATCAAAATCAGTTTGCAACAATTGCCTAGATTGTGGGAGCAAACTAATTTAAAACAGCAGAGAGGATAATGAATCTTCTTGGGGGGGGGGCTGTTAATCTGAGAGAATTTATTGTTTCTACTATGTGCAACTGCTATTTAAACAAAATATTGCATTACTTCATACAAACTACATCAAACTCCAAAAGTCAGGGATGAAATAGATAGATTCTCAGGATTTTCTATCCACTCATGAGGTATACTGACATGTTTCCTTACGGTACATGACTTGATTTAATAACAATATTTCCTTGCATCCATAAGAACCCTTAGAACATTCTTTCTGTTCACTTCAGCACAGATTGTTCCCCTGTATCTGTACGTTTTATTTTCTATTATTTCAGTTTTATAACTTTGCATATTACTGGGTGACAGGTGATGGGCCTATAATTATTTGCCATGTACTCTCTCCCTCAGTGGCGGCTCATACCACTTTTTATAGTGGGTACAGGTTAAAAAAGTCACATGTATGCCTATCATCATAACATAAATAACATTTGAATGAAAATCAAGAAGTCTCATGAATAATTAAAAGCAGGATTTTTATTGGCATTTTACCTTAAAATCGTTTTCTTTAACAGAAATATTGGTACCCCAGGATTATCTCGGGATTAGGATGGAATAAGTTGTGCAGTCACATTGCCTTTCATTACAAACAAGTCATTACAATAACGCTGCAATTGCCATTCAGGTGTTCTGAATAGATATATCAACACTTAGTAAATGTTGCAGGGCCCAGCCACTATGCCCCTTTCAGAAAACTGTGGTGCCCCCATGGGGAAGCATAAGTAATGCCATATGTGAGCGTTTCTGGGAATTTCTCTGATTTTCATTAACAGCCTTTAATTAAGATCCATTAATAACAGCCTTTGGAGATTGGGAATGTAATGCAGACTATTTCTTGATCTGATAATTTGGGATCTTATCACTATTAAATCACTCGCCAAAATGTGTTCGCAAAAATTTGTTTTTCTAACCCTCTCCATTCCCTTTTGTAACATCTCATAACTTTTAATTTTGAGATGTTACAAGAGCAGTTGCTGAGAGTTAAAAAAATTAAACTTTTGGGAACATATTATATGAATGGTTTTGAATTGGATAAGTGATTTGAACAAAAAACAATTACTACCCACAATTTTTTATTCCATATTTAAATCAACAAAACGTATATCTCACATACTCACCATTGTTTTATTTTTCTTAAATAATATCTGGAAGTAGTTTTTCATATCAGTGAAAAGTTCAGTTTTTATTTCGTTAATATAGTGTGAACTACTCTAGAAATTCTATCAGGGAAGGGAAGAAAGTGTTCAGAAAAATCAAGAAAAGAGGAAAATTTGTTCTCAGAAAAGAGAGGTCATGTGGAATAAGTTTTTTCATTTGTTATAATTGTGAAAATATTGAATAAGGATTAACGGAAATGACATGGTTTTATAACATACTGGTTTGGTTTTAAAATATTTTCAAAGTTACGAATTTTTAAAAAAATTTAATATTAAAACACTAGTTTTATCTAAAACATTTCAAGGTTTGTTACTTCATATAAGTTAGAAGAAAGAAAAAAAATTGAAGTGGAGACAAATTAATAAGTCCAGATGTGAAAGGAACTGCACTAATTTTGTACATATCTACATTAGTTCAGAGTTTGTTGATCTTGCTCAACTACATTTGCATGTAGTTGGTGATGCAGGAGAGATTCACGTAAGATGATTGTAAATGTTATTTCCTTCTAACATCATGCCCCTCTCCATGTACCTCTTGCCTATCTGGGCATTCCTCCTTCCCCACTGGCTACTCTCCCTCTTCTCCTATCCAGTTCTCGGTTTTTGCCTCCTGCTCCTCCTCCAAAGAAAGCCTTACCAAGAAGCACTGTGAAATGTATTTAATTAATTTTGTAAATGCGTCAGAGGTGACACTTTGTGATTGAGAATCTCACATTGTTTTTCTCTACTGTTCAAATGTCTTTGTGCAAAATTCAGGAGTAATTATTGCTGCGGATTCAAAGCTTTTGTTAAATGCACACACTTACATCCACCTTTATATATATTTTTTTTTTTATTTTCAAGAAAACTTACTAAATTTGGTACTTATTCGGTGTACATGTGTTATATCCTGTCCCTATTTCTATGCAAATATTATTTATTTATTTTAATTAGTAGGTGTAAATCCTTAAACAAAATATGATTTCACAAAAATGGTTTCACATATAATGTGCAGCAGAAGACCTGATAGCTCAAAGAAAATATTACAACTATTCAAAATAACAAATACACAATACTTATAAACTATTACTAGAGTATTCAAAACTCAGAACAGATGCAATGCAGTTTTAATATCCTTTGCATTAGCTTTCAAAATTTCAAAATGAAATCTGTTAACATTATTAGATATTCTGTTTAATGGATTATTCCATTAATAGGTAAAACATTCAATGAATAGGTAGAACTAAAGTTGTCAGTAACAAATTTGATATTGTGATCCTTTAGAAACCTTGAATCTTGTATATTGTAACAAAAAAGGCAATCAATTTTATGATTAAATAGTTTATACTGTATAAACATTTTATACCATTAGAGAAGAGTATATCTGGAAGAAATATTCAGTAATTCTGCAAATGAATTCTAAATATTATTAATAAAAGAATGAGGTAGGCAAAAACACAATGCAACAATTCTGAAAAATTCATGTTGAATGATTTCCATGCAATTTATGTAAACATCAAAATTGGAGAACCAAACACGAGAAGCAAACTTTAGTATGAGTCTAACTAGAGCTACATAAAGTCTTTTCACTGTCCATGGGGATTTTAATTTACAACAAGTTTAATAAGCCTTATTGATTATCATATCAATGTGATTTTTGGGCATTGTGGCAATTGACGCTTGTTTGTCTATCAAATATCACTTCCAGATACTTAATCATATTCTCAGTTTCAAAGACAACACCATTGCATAGGTGTGAACAATATCATTTTTAAATCTTGAGAATATTATCTTTTTATATTTCTTTGCGTTCAGCATCACATCATTGACCTTAGACCATTGCAAAAGTGCAGTCATTGCATTCTGTAAATTCAATGCCTGTTTTAGGTAAAACAAATGTCAGAACTTCCAGCTGTAATTATAATTTTTTTGTTTTTTCCATTTTAGTCTGAATTATCTGTTATAATATAAGACTTTGTAATAAAAGCTACTCAAAAATATAATTTTGTGCACACTTAGCAGTGCACAGAATTGCATTTTTATGTGATCGCAGAAGAAAGTTTCATTCACTGATGGGAATTTGATTTTGCTGCTAATTCAATTTACAAAGTATTAATAAGTATATATATATAGAGAGAGAGAGTAGTAAAGATCCATTCATTTAATTCTCTTTGACTACAGTCTCATTAAAAAACAAAAGATGTGTTTCATGTGGACATTGTTGCAATATTTACAAAATTAAATTAAACTTTCTTGCTTGCATTTTCATAGTGGTAATGTATGGCACTTGTTAGGTCAAACAAGTTATGAAGGGTGCAACAAAATTCATGGTTGAAACTGAGATCATTAGATTGCTATTAGTGTAAAATGGCTTGGACTGTAATAACAGTGCAGAAAGGAAGAATTAGCATGGCTCCTGCCCATTCCTCAGGTTTTCAGTGTCCCACACTAGTATCTCATTTAATTTACTTGTACTGTATGTAGTATTATCTTTTAATTCACCTTCTTCCTTAAAAATTAAAAACATTTTATCAAGTGAAAATTGATTAAATTTCTTTACGGGGAAGATTTTCTTGCAGAAAAATGTCATAAAAAATATGCAAAAAAATAGACGTATCATTTAGAAACATGTGAATAAACATATTTTTAATAGTTTAAGCGACCATAAATTTTTTTCAAAATTGTATGGGAATACACATTGTATCTACACTAACTTTGTTGACAAGCCAGAGCCAAATTTATCTCAGGTACTGTACTGCCTAATAAGAATATCTCTTGTGTTGTGAAAAGACTGTAAGGATTTTCCTGCAAACTACTAATGAAAAATAGTCTCGTTAGCTTCTATCATTGTTGCAGGAGAGAAATGTTCTTACTCGTGAATAAAATTTTATTGTCCTCTCTTATAATATACATTGTTTTTATTGCAAGAAATTGTAAATTGATATCATAAATCTTCCTCTGCATTTTCCCTTCCTAATAGGAAGATCATAAATGACCTCATAACAAACCCTCTTTCTAGACATGAATTTAAAAGAAAACTTTCTGCTTTGCAGATGGAAGTTGAGACAAATAAGAATGGTGATATCAACTACGAGAAATGGAAAATGGCAGAGGTGAGTGTATTATTTAATTGAAGTTAGTTAAGGTTATACAAATGTAACTGAAGTTTGGGGGAATCTTTTACAACATATCCTGGAGTAAGTAATCTTGTAGTCAAAGTCAAAACTGTTGGGATAAATCATAAATATTACGAAGGTGAAATGAAGAACTATTATTGTACTTTAAGAAATTTTTTTTTAAATGGTAAGGTTGATGATGAAATTTCTTTAGACATATGATAAGTGGGGTGGCTGTAGACCTGTGTTTTGTGGTCTAAACTAAACATAACTAAAAATTGTAATGAAAACACACATTATCCTATACATTGAACATTGTGAAAATTTAAGTTGATTGAAGAAATTGTTTTATTGGTTGAGTAGTTTTCTGTAGAACTGTCTTCCGCTGTTTGAAATGAAACCTGTAATACTATGATTTGTATAATATGCCATAATATTATCATCAGAGCTGGGAAGTTTATAAAAACATTTATTCCTGAAATAGGCATGAAAATTGCCAAAACATTTTGAAATATGTACAGAAATTTTTAAGTTGCAACGTTTGGTTACAAAACTGTATTTTACATTACATTACATATTCAACGTTACATTGTTTTGGCACCTAGAGAAATTAAATATGTGCTTAAAAACAGATTAGTATCTATTTCTGCGCTGTATTTTGCATTAAGAGCACAGAAAGTCACAAGAATTTTATTCAGGTTATCTGTTGTAAGGAAGTGTCTCCTACTAGATAATACAACAGTGGAATTTGCGTGGTCAGATGGAAGTGCAGGCATCATGGCCTGATTCTCACCATGTAATATAAGACATGGAAATGATATTTCCATATCATGTGATGTTATGGATTTGTAGTTACTTGTATTTGTGCTTAATGCATTATGTGGAAGAGGAACACTCTTTCCTTCTAAGAGTTTACCCACTGCCTTTAAAGTATGAAGTCCTAGATTATTTCCAAAAACTTCATTTGTTTTCTTCCTAACTTCTTCCCCCATGTGCAAGCTTGTGCACAGCAAACACATGTAGAACCATATTGGGAAAGAGGGTTTTTAATGCTGTGAACGTTCTAATCATGTATGGTGCAGCATCGCTTATCATAAGGAATAACCTTTCATCCCCCCATCTCGGCACCATTTAGCCATGAAATTAGGAGACGCAACTTACTTTCAGAGGGGGGAAGGGGAAGATGATGTCTTGCCACGCAAGGTCAATTTGAGGATGCCAAAAGAATGCAAGATGCTGCCTTGACAATAAACAGATGACAGCAGATATTACTTCTGTGGTGTTGGCCGTCAGTAGTCTGAAACTCATTGTACTAATGATTTTGAAGCAGCAAGGATGTTCATGCCTTGCAATAATAAATATCAAAGCACTTCAAGTGCAAGTACTTTTTTTGTTGTTGCAATTGTTAGATCTGGACTCAAATAAGCATCCATTGTGTAGTCTCCTGACGGAATTGGTTTAATTAAATCACTTGAAAAATGTTCGAAATGGTTTGCTAAATTCTTAATTTTAACTTTAAGCAGAAAATTCCAACAAATTATTTTTTTTTAAATTAAAATTACTCCAAGAAGTGTTCATGCATCCTGCACATTACCTCAGTTTTCTTTTTCGATTCCTTCAGGGTTTTTTATAATCCTTTATCTAACAAAATTTATGTGTACAAATCTAGTTTATTTAAAATTATGGAATTAACTAACAATGTTTTTGCTCATTGTGATTTGAATTTAGATGTACCTTAGTTGACTCCATAAACTTCCTTGTTGGAGCATATTATTCTGATATTGTCTGTTTTTGCAATTAAATTGTAATTCAGAAAGTCCTTTAATGGGGTAACATGTTGGATTTTATGTAAAATAAAATCAATAAATAACTTGTCTTAGTTATATAAAAATTATTGTAACTAAAGAATGGATTTCCATGCAGTATTAAACCCTAATATGCATTTTCTCTGCCAAACATGAGTCTTTGACTCATTGTAATTTGAAAGCTTTGATCAGAGTTCGTAGAACATTCTTTTCTGAAAAATAAGGGGACAAGAAAACATAATAAACTAGTAGTGGTACAGAAGTGCACACACTTTTGACTTAATAGTTAGTTCTTTGATCTGCGCTAGCTTTTCAGTCTTGCTCCATCCCCTCTCCAGCTGCTATTGGCTTTAGACGAATGCTATGTGCAATAGCTCACCCATGTCTTTCCATCATGGGTGGATGTCATGTGACATGGGAATGATGGTCCTTTTTTGTCTGCAGGATGAGGGTGAAAACTGTGATGCTGTCGACAAAGCTTTACCAGCTGCAGAGGCAGATGACAATAGTAATGGAATCGGTGAGTCAACCAATCAATTATTACATACGCACATTTCTAGAGCCCCAGATTACCTACCCCCCACTCCTTTACTAACATTAGTTGAATTTAAAATAATGATAGTTACGAGCGTTGTTGACAAAATTAGGTATCAGAAATATTTGCTCCTGTGCAATAGAAACTATTTTGCATGGACAAACTAGCTACAGATTTTATAAAATAGTCTTGCCAACAATGTAATCTATTCTCCCACTCCTCTCGAAAAAACGACTCCAGACGTGCATGGACAATACACGTTTAAGCCGCCACCTGATGCTTCCTGATGGAGACATATGCCAATGGCTTGATGTGCGCTGTCACACTGCCTGTGTTGCATGGACATGCTGATGCCAATTGCAGGGAAATCTGAATAAATGAAGAAATCTTAATAAACTCATAGGAATTTTTTTAATTTTTTTTATTTTAATTATCTTGGGCGTTGACACACACCAAAAAAAAAAAAACTCCACAGGTACTAACACTACTTGTGTTTACTATACATATATATGGGAGCCAGAATTAAAAAAATTTACAAGCGAGCCTGCATTCCTTTTTTTTCACTACTGTTCTATGATTATCGTTACCACTGCCGTAGACAACTATAAACAGTTGTAATGTAACATACGCACACCCAAAAGTCCAGTATCAGTTTTGACTTTCAATTACTTAAAGCCTTATTGTGCTACCGGAATAAATCATCATGTATTTTGTCTGACATTTTGTGTGCTTTAAGAAACATTGGAGTAACTTATGTGGATTTCCTTACTATTTTTGAGATGTTCGGAAAAACTGAGAGAGCACTTTCAGGGGTAGGAAAGGGACATGGAGATACTTTTTATGAAACCTCCTGTATGCAGTAACTTTCATTTTGAAGGTCATGTGTAAGAAATTTAATTGTTAGAATAACAGTGTAGATATGTAAAGCAAACAAACCTTTTTTAAAGTAGAAAATATCTGAAAAATTAGCCCACCGTGATGCTCAATAAATTCTATTTTTCAAGGAAAACCACATTCAAATTGGTTTAGCCGGTAACGAAATTATCTCAAACAGATAAAGATTGTTAAAACCCCGTTCAATTGTATTTACAATCATATTCGATTATAGAAAGACAGTTACTATTTTGAAATTACAGTTAGACACTCCAATTTTCATTTATATAGTCTATTCCACTCGTGAAATTAAAACCAATAGCATTTGACTATGCATACAAAATGCCCCATCAGGGCAGTGTATCTCAAAACGTTTATCACTTTTTCTATCCAATTTTTCTTATTATTTCTACCTTCAGGTCAATCATAAGCTTGACTTGATCTATGGGAGACAATATACATTGATTGTCTAATAAACCGCGTATGTGCTACAGTAAAATCTGTTTAAACCAGAACCTGTATGAGCTGGAAACCTGCCTTGACTGGAAAATTTCTTCGACCCATGAAGATAATGACATTTAATACAGCATAAAACGGAACATCTCCATCACGGAAATGGAACGGTTTTTCATGACCTGCAAGTAAAAAATAAATAAAAAACAACAACAAATTCTTATGTATATAATGCAATTGACAGAAAGACTCTTAATGAATGCATTTGAAAGCATGTTTTAAATTCTCTCTTCCTGTGACATGCGATTTCGTCGTGGAAGCCGGATACTAAAGGAGAAGGGCTTCAGTTGTCTGTGTAGAATTCGACCTGGGGTCCCTTGTCTCTCCAGGCGTAGGCCGTAGGGGAATTCCCTTCTGACTCTCAGTGCTGGAAGGTGTACGACCATGGCTTCTATTCACGCATCTCCCTGCCTAGTGTTGAAAATCATAACTCCTGGGTTTGATTTGCATTATCTCACAGTCATGTGAATATCGTCAGATGTCTGCGGATATCAGAAAGTAATAGTAAAGAGTTGTGACGCATTGTGGTGAAAGGGTTGGCAAGCTGTGTGAATATGGCCATTAGACAGTAATATGTGTATTTTTCACCTCAAAAACTGTCAATGAAGAGTGTTTAATACTCATTTATTGGTGATTTCTTCCATACATTATATGTTAATTTTTTTATAATTATAATAAAGTCATGTAATTTACTACTTTCAGTGCTGAAATATCAATTTCACAAGTGTCATAAAATGGCCAACACTGCATAAAACCGGAACCTCCCTAAACCGGAACCTCCCTAAACCGGAACCTCCCTAAACCGAAACCTCCCTAAACCCAAACCTCCCTAAACCGAAACCTCCCTAAACCTAAATTTTTTTTGTGTCCCAATCTATTCTAGCTTAGGTTTTACTGTATAATGTTACCTCATTGATTTTAACATGCATTCAGTTATTTTCAATATTTGGCGCGTTTTAAAAGTCTGTTGAATGTAATTTCATTTGTGGAATAGTCCTATTAAATACCTATTGTGCTTTGTTAATTCTCAGATAAATTCCCTCCTTGTTTCGCGAGCTGGGGATTTATCAACAATTTCCAAAGCACTTTTTATAGTCTGTGATGAAGATTTCCTCTTTTGTTTAGATGATTCTGTTTTTTTTTTTTTAGGAGAAAGTACAGTACCGAAGGGTTTCAATGGCGAGAGTATCGCTGAAGAAGATGACGAAGATGAGGAAGAGGAGGAGGAGGAAGTAGTACCAAATGTGAGAGCGAAAGGGAGACGAGGGAGCGGCGAGAAAAGGTACTGTAGACAATAATTGAAGAACTAGTAGTTCTACAGAATGGCACAAACTTTTTCATACTAGTTTTGTAATCTTTTTAGTCTAGTCTAGCTTTTGGGTTTTGTCTCAGAGTTTTCCCAGCTGCCATTTATTGCCACCCAAAACAATTTTTTCCCCCACGTTTTCTCAATTTCTCGGTCCCCTAATGGTAGATTTGAAATACGACTTAAAGCATTTTAGAGAAAAGTAAACCATGGTCCTTATACATATTTTAATTGGAAAATTTGGAGTCGTTCTACTGTGTACCACTGGCAGATGCTTCAATTTTACAGAATTATTTTATTACATGCATACTGGTGCAAGGAGGAGGAGGAGGGACATGTGGTGCAGATTTATAGCTAATCAACGATTGTTATTCCAAGTGGCATTGTTTACAATTGCTTCCTTGCCTCGGCTGAGAAAGATTTTATATTGCTTACAATGCGCACAGTAACTGTAAGAAAACTATTCAGCCTATGGCATTATCGGAATTATCTGAGGTTTTCGTTAGATACTCTGAAACTGGGGGCAAAGTATAAAATGAATGAAACCTTTTTTGATTTTGATTAAAAATGCAAATACATATTTGATTGCGATATTCTGCTTTTCTCATACTAGAATTCATCTTGACAGTTCCTATGCCTACAACGCACACTGATGTCATATGACTGCAATTCTGCTGCTGAACGCCACTACAGTACCGGCAGCGTATAAGTGACTCTGACAGTTTGGTTTACAGTTTCCACATATTACAACTGATATGGCACCACCATGACAAATAAATAAAATCTCAAAACATCAACATTTACTGAAAGGCATTAACACTTCTTGATATAATGTTCAAAATATGTGCCAAAACTGAACCTTATCACCTTTGCGACTTAGTGTGAGTTAAATGAGCGATGAACTCTGGCTGTGTACAACAACAGTAAACAACTGTAAACAAATCCTCGCAAGCTGACTGCTTCAGAGCAAGTCACATGCGGAAAGAGAACTATCAGTATCGCTTATACGTTGCTGGTACTGTTGTAAAGACTTACGAGCGAGCACATAGTGAATAATCAGGGTGGCCATTTTCTGAAAAACCAAAAACAATCTGGGAATTTCATTGTTGTGGAAAAGTCGAGGAAAATCAGGGAATTTGTGAAATAAGTTGATTAAAAGTTGGTCAGGGAAAATGTTGAGATGCTTATAAAAGTAGATATTATTTAAAAATAAAATAGTACTGCATTATTTTTGGACAATTTATTTTCTTTGAGTTTTTTTGACTTTGTATATTATCGCAGACAAATAAGTTCCAGGCTTGTTTCAATATTTTTCTTTAAATAGCATAAAATACTCTACATATCTATGTGTAAAATTAAAAAAAAAAGTTTCAAAAACTGGAAAAAGTAGAGGAAACCTGCAAATAAATTTGCCCCCCCCCCCAAAAAAAAATATAGTAAAAAAAAAACAAGTGAAAAAAAGAAGCAACTAAAATTAGGGGGGAAACCTGTAACCTGACAAAACTGCTGCGCCCCGCACTTCATATTCGAAAAAACATACCTGCCAAAGGTAGTATGAAAGGTAGTTGTGAGAGTATTTGTCTGATTTTGTGATAAACTCTTTTTTTTTAATAGATTTAAAAAACTGCGAACTCGCCCCCCCCCCAATGTCCCCGAAAACTTCCAGTAAAGGCAAAAACCAAAATGAGCGCGGAAACCCTCCCCACCTGCAACCCTGCTGCGCTGCGCGTGTGCAGGCTGGAGTGCCAGGAGTGCGGGCGCACGTTCGCGTGCAAGGACTCGCTCAACTACCACGTGCGCGGACACGGCGAGCGGCCCTACCGCTGCGGCGCCTGCCCGAAGGTAAGCGCGGGGGGCCGGCCTGGCCCTTCCTTCTCCTTTGGGGTTACCAGACGCCCTGACGACGGGTTCTGATTTTTGGACTCTGCACGCGATGCCCCCGATTTGTTTACAAAAATCCTGATTTTGTAATGTGTATCAATAGGGGGCGGATTTTGACGACCAAAAACATAGCTAAAAATTATCAATAAAATGTTTTGAAAATGCCCTAAACGCAAAGAAAAATGACGTAAAAAATATGATCAAAACCACTTCAGATGAACACCTCAAGCTGTTGGATACGTTACTGATGTAATCGAGGCTGCTTCTATATGTTCACGTGCACTGAGATTGCAAACTTTTGGTTTGGACTGATCTCTATGATTAAATCACTGTCTTTAGTTATCCGAAATAGGCCGTTCCAACAATAGCGACGATAGGCGTCATAGGAACTTAAGATTTCATAGAACGGTCGACATTACAATTTCTGAGCGAAGAAATCGAATTGTCTATCAGGAATTCTATGGGGAACTTTTGTTGCATCATGGGAATACTTCGAGCAAGTACTATTAAAATAAATTAAATCAGCGAAAATTATGACGGGCATTAAAATGACGGGAAAAGGTAAAAAATGACTTATGTGAGGAAATCGACGAAAAGTGAAAACAAGTATAAAAATGGGTTATTTCCTTTTGTCATGACATATAATTTAATATCTATAATAAACGGCATTGTTTTTTGTGAAAAGAAGAAAATGATATTTCATTAAAATCCGCCTCCCGTGTATCATCTATTAACTGTTTTATTTTCATATTTTTAATATAAAGCCTGGTATTCAAAAATAAAATTGCGCTGGAGAAAAAAGTGATAAGTCAAATGTTTCTTCCTATAAGAACAATAAGTATGTCTGATTCTTATATTTGTACCGGGAATAATGAAACAGGAAAAATAATATATATTAATCAATGTTTGTTTGTTGTTTTTTTATGCGCTGCCGTATCGTTCAGTGAATTGCGATAGAACTTTGTCACTTTGCTTACACTTGCGCAAAAAATATAGGCATAGTACAATCAGAAAGTGTATCTGTCGCGCGTAGGCGGGCGATGGTAATTTTATACGTTTATGTTGACTCAAGCGCCCCTGAACAGAAGCGCTACGCAACCCGCACCACTCTCGTGTATCAAGCGCGTCTTCGCTGCATATTCTGCCCTGCGAGTGTGAAAAATCGCCCGGAATTATTTTTTGAACGTTATCTCCAGCAAGTTAATCAATTTCTCGTAACTAGTGTATTGACAAATGTATGCCCAAAGAGGGAGAACGTTTTAACACGATACTTGACCACCGTGTTAAAACCAAGAAATAAAACAAACCCGTACTCCTGAGAAAGTCTCATCTATTGAAATTGTTGCTGAGCGTAGCGTAACGTGTGATTAACAATCACATTAGCAGTAGCGTGTGAAGTGTAATACATCTCAACAGCGTAAATTGATCTACCTTCTGTAATAGAGTAAGGACTTTATCTATGTCATTAAAAAAAGTCCTGATTTTTTGATTCAACGATCCTATCCGTTTCAAGTAGGTGTCTGGTAACCCTACTTTCGGTGTAAATATTGCCTCAAGAAATGCACTGTTAACCGAAAATATTTATATACAAAAATGTATGGATGCGTACTTTTGTTCGTGTACATGTCAATTCTTTAACACGGGTACAATGTCATTTCAGCGATTCTTGATATACATTATGACTGGGAAGTAGCTTGAGGAAAATAATTCTGCGAGGGTAAGACACCCCATGTCCTAGCATCTTCGTACAGCGTATTAAGTCTGAACTGCAGTTCGATTCGCATACGATTCGTTCACTCACGAGTACGCGTACGGAGGGAACAAAATTGTGACAAAATGAAGCCTTTGTTGGAAAATGTTATGAAAATATACACGTCGAATTATTTTAAATGTGTATTTGCATAAAATGCATCGGCAATGATGCGTTGGACAGACTGAAGAACGGTGTATGTTAACGCGTGGGCGGAATGCCCGAGCCTCTTCCACAACTCGGAACTGTGCTGCGAAGCATCGCTTTTCGCGAGAAAGTGCGTCGGCCGCGCACATTGTGGCCTCGCCGCGAGTCTCTCATTCCCGGAATTGTCAGTGTGTGTGAACGAATCGCACCAGAAACTGCTTTTCTACCACGGTGTAAGACATGTACCCAGGGTCGTCCAGAAGGAGTGGTGCAACTTGCCTCAGGCGCCGACTTTATTGGGACCCGGATTGGTTTTCATTCGAAAGAAATGAAAAATATATTTAACTCTAATCGAAATTTACAAGTTATTTCTGACGCATGGAGATATTCATTTTGTTAATGAATTAAGAGAGGAAGGAATTTGTTTGTTTGAAAGACCGTCCCTTCGTGGATCAACTGCCACGGGCCCCTGATTTTCTCTGGGTTCCTCTGTAAATACCATACCGTGTATATATTTCGTTCGCTGTGCTTTCTACCCACCGTGTGATTCGCCTCTTGCCCTGTGCTGCTCCGCAGGCGTTCCTTCAGCGCAGCGCGCTCGCGAACCACGAGCGCACCCACACGGGCGAGCGGCCCTTCCGCTGCACGCACTGCCCCAAGGCGTTCGCCCAGTCGTCCACGTGGCGGCAGCACGAGCGCGAGAACCACGCGGCGCCCGCCGACCGCCCGGCCTTCCCCTGCGGCCTCTGCGGCAAGACGTTCGGCCGGCGCAGCTCGCTCGACCGCCACATGCTCACGCACACGGGCGAGCGGCCCTACCACTGCCCCTACTGCCCCAGGTGCGAGGCACGACACGCTCTCTTTCGCGGCTCTTTCCCACGTCCTACCCCGCCACCATACATACCGTGGGTTGGTAGAGAGCCGATTTCAAGAGAGCAATACAGATAATAGAGACAGGAAAGCAGACGCTAATAGTGAGCGAACAGTGATCTCAATAATAGCTGCACAGCATAAGACGAGCACGATATCACTACGCAACAAGAGAACCGAGCCCTAACTCAGCCTGAGATGAGCGTATTTTATTTAATTTTCTACTCATTTTTTTTTGAGTCCTTCTCCCTAGGGTTTTTTTCTATCTATCTACAAAAACAAAAATCTCTCGGACGTTCTTCATTCTTGACGCGTATCTTCCAAAAACTATTATCGTCTCCGCGGGATGTCTCACTCGAATACTTCTTCGGGATTTGAGGGGCTTTTGTCTCTTTAGTGTTTGTGCTCGCCCAAAGTATTGATTTTGAAGTAGGTAACTGGTTTCTCGTAGTGACAGGCACCCTCTGTGAAGAACATACTACCTATCACCTCATCGTATCGCTCCAACCAATTGTACGCTACCTTTATAACACGAACATCCTCGAACGCTAGCCACTGCTCATACTCACTGCGTCTCCGCCTGTCTATCATATTGCTGTCGCAGCCAGCCGGATACTACGATGCGTCTGCTTTTCTTATATATCGCCAACTACAAACGCGTGATTTTAGAATTCGCCCGCTAGAAGAGACAAACTCAGCTGAGGGACGAGAGAAGAAATCGAGGAAACGAATTAATGGGTCCCACCCCTCATTTTACCCATCGAACGGTACATAACCTAACACGCTGTCACAGGCATCAATGCTCGAAACCGAGCCGCACTCTAGCTCATAAGAGGAGATATCGCGCTGACTATAGCTCACCGCCCAGTACAATCATTACGCCCCTCACGAGCCTCAGCAACTGCGCCGCTAATCTACCGCCGCCAACGACGAGAATGGACGGTACTTTGCTATGAGCTGCCCATCGCACCCTGATGGACCCGATAAGGGGTAAAAGAGGGAGAGACCCAATTCAAAGAGCTGTGAAGTACGATTACGATTATGAGCTGGAGCCCTTCCCTCTGAACGTTGCGGCTCCGCCAGGCTTCGCTATACACATGAAGAGAAGAGAAGGAGAGAGGTAGAAAAGAGAGGGGAGAGAGCATGGAGAAGGTGAGAACAGAAAGGGAATGGCTAGGGTGGGAATAACAAAGTAAGACGGGAATCAAGAGATAGGTGGTGAGCCGAAGGGGGGAGTGAGAGAGGAAAAAATGGATGTTTGGTTAATTAAATATTTTTCCTCGCGTACAAGTGAATAACAAGTTTTGTATAGATGGTGGTGATTTATCTTAAAGAGTTATGGTGTTGTGAGCCGAAGGGGGGTAGTGAGATGAGGTTTTTTCCAGTTTTTATTTTTTTTTTTTATTTTCTCTAAAAAAAAGAACAAGGGAAAAAAAAAATCCTGGTCAATAATTATATATTTTTTACGTCCGCCTACTCCTTGGATTCCCTTCATTTGTGCTATTGGTTGATATATTCTACTGTACTCGTCCTTCCTCTAATAACTCACGTCCCCCTTACGGCTACACCATAACTCATGTTTCCTCGTTACTTTTGTTAATCTCACATCTACTCATTCCCTTCCTCTCTCACTCCCCCTTCGGCTCACACTACTACCTATGATTCCCTCACATCATTTACTTTTGTTATTCACGTGACTCTGTGTCCCTTCCTCTCTCACTCCCCCGCTTCGGACCACACT